CCGAATTAAGTTGTACACCCAATACATATAAACAGGTAACATCTGACTTTATCTCATAAAAAACAGTTTTCACTAGGAAAGTGTAAAGAAATCATGATGTGTTTGCTAGTAAAGAAAAGCTATAACAGCTTCATATTTGCCTCGTGAACTCCATCGAAGCATATTAAAATATAACATTGCATTGTGTCTCAACACATTTTCTACACAAAAATGTTTCAGAGATGAAGTGCAAATGAAGTAAGATCGTTCTGCATAGTAATTTCAATCATTCCTTAGCTTCCAATCAAATAAAGCAACATTGCACACACGTTTTCTGGACATCATAAACGCTAGCTCCACACATTTCCATTATTTCTAACGATAACAGCTGCAAACTTGCCGATCTATGGTTACCGCGCATTAGTGCTGTTACAATAAAGAGCTTATTAAATTAACTAGAATTATCCATACAACCAGCTCATAGCCCGATCAAATTGAGAAAAAAACGTGGACTGTGTGTTTTGCTCTTGGCATTGTAACCATGGCAACATGACCAAACCAGAGGTCGCTCTTATTTGGCCGATACAAACCAAATCTCCCATTCGGTTGTGTTTACGCTAGCTTTTATCATTTTGAGTTGATTACCTTGATTTTTACAAAGTTTCTTTAAACCCTTGAGTTATCCGCTTCATGCACATAACAAGCACAAAGTCTTCATAGATAAATGCAGAAACTGTCACAGGCTTTTGTACAACTTGGAAAAAATACGACTATAGTTCTCATACTCTTCATACTTGTAGGCAAGATCTAAACTCCAGGGAACTCCAAACTCAAGAAGATTACTATCCTGATGACTCTTTAAGCGCTAATCTTTTTCTCACGTGGAAGGAGGAAAAGTGTGAATTGCTATATTATGACTGTCACTATGCAAGTTTATCGTAGCAGAAGTAGCGCCAGAAAAATTAAGAAGTTTTTATTTAGAAGAATCCATAACAGCAGATCACTATAATGCTTTCTTGTCTTTGTGGTTTTAATTACTCCTATACTCATGACGAGTATAGAATTAGAAAATGTTTAGAACATGACCGATGAAGCTGTAGATGAGGAAGTCGCTGGTAATGACTCGTTTGAATTAGCGAGTGTGTTCAGCTTTTCTCTTAATCACCGTATATTACCCTATTGTGCAACATCAGCCCGAATCGAATCGGACACCAGGGAAACCCTAGTTGCTGTCAATGCTTCCAATAAAATCATTCTGAGAAGTATGCAACCATATCGCTTCTCTGCAAACATTAATATTCCTACCAAGCCTTTTTTTAGATAATGAGAGTTCTTTGCATATTCCCGACAAAATTAAATGCATTACTACTGCACCATTTGGTACCGGTTACGACTACATTGTTGTGGGCACAGAAAGCCAAGTGTTGGTATACGACTTTTGTCAGAATTCTACGATATTCCGTCGAGACGTTCCTGATGGAGTTCACTGTTTTGCTGTAAGCGTATTTCTAGTCATTTTGTTATTCTTGTTACAAGATTTTCGAAGGTGGGCAAGCTGGGAGAATTGGACCGCATAATTTTATGTGGAGGAAACTGCGCAATTTGGGGATTTGATGAAACCGGCAGAGACATCTATTGGACAGTGGCAGGTGAGAAACCCCTTTCAAAATAATAAACAGCTTATTATTGAAAGGTCTTATGCCTACATCTGGCTACATCAGAAAGAACTTTCTTGCTTCAAACCTCAAACTTTATCAATTCGCCTAACAAGGGAAGGATGCGGAGTCGCAGTGGCAATCCGCCAAGAGATGTATACCACAATATCTTTATCGATATATCCCATATCTGTTTTCGATATCTGCCAAACGACATTCTGGGAGGAGCTGCATGCGTTTTTTCCTGCTCAAATTCTGTTAGACGCACGTCTTGCCGAACTAACTTGACAACATAGAGTGAGTGGATAGGGTAGTGGTAAGTATCTTACGGGCCATTCTTTTACACCCAGGTTCGAGTTCTGCTGGATAGTTTATTTTGCATTATTGTTTTTTAATTGCCAATGTGTGTAGAACAACTTGATGCGTCCCTATCCTTTACTTTTACAAAAAATGTTAATTGAATAGTTAGCTGAGCTTGATAAATGCTAATCCGTTTTTTTGTTTCTTAAATTTTTTGGGAAAAAATAAAGGAGGGAAGCATCAAGTTGTTCTACACACATTCGGCAATTAAAAAACAATAATGCAAAACAAACTGATCCAGCGGGATTCGAGCCTGGGTGTAAAGAAGTTCCCCGTAAGATACTTACCACTACCCTATCCACTCGTACGTCGTCGAGTGAGTTCGTCTAGATATGCGTCTAGCAGAAATTGAGCAGGAAAAAACGCATGCAGCTCCTCCCAGAATGTCGTTCAGCAGATATGGAAAACAG